CCCCAAAACCCCAAAACCCCAAAACCCCAAAACCCCAAGAAAAATGGTAAATATTGTTATATAAATAATGCAAAATATTAAGATGAGACAGAACAGACGCTATCGCTCAGTGAACAATTCCAATAAAGCTTCGATTAGACAAAGTACACTTGAAAAGAGTCTTGAGAAATTCATTGATGCTAGATGTCTCTACAAGCCTAAAAACTCAAAGCAGAAACTCTAAAATCTATTGAGTAAGTTTTCAATTTTCTCATGCACATGATTTTGTTGACTCTGAAAAATATTCTCTGTAGAGGACTGAACAACAAAGCGAAACATGAGAATTATCTCCCAGCCAAAGGAAACACTGAAAGGGAGAAGACCTTCATGAGTTTTAACTCAGGAGTCTCTAGTCAGAAACACTTATCAGGGAACTCAAGTACCGATTTACTTTATTTCTGTAGACCTGGAGGCACGGGAAAACGAGGTGCATCAAATGATGATCAAAAGCTGTCATAAAATAATTCTTAATATACAAAATAACTGCAAATATAATTCCCAGGATTCTTTACCGAGGAGGAACATCAAGAGGAGGAATATTCCAGATTCTATCATCAGTATTTTTGCGATGCTCATTTATAGCAGATGATTATTCGTACAATGGAAAAAGTATAAACAGCCTGGTAAAAACGATCAATAAATCCTTAGAAAAGGCCGAACATTAGTCTGGAGATTACCAAATCTCAGGATAATTCTCGGAGATATCTGAGTAATTACCCATCATTGGAGGACATAAAGCAGACGAATTTCTTAGAGTTTTTTAAGAAAATAGCTAGAAAGGATATCCAAAAAGGTATTATTAAACAAATGATTTCTAGAGCAACACAGGCAAAAGTAATTTATCCCTTTACACCCAGAATTATGAAGACATTGACTCTAAAGGATAGGATTAAGCAAAAAGGTGTGTTGCTCAAGCTGCAGATTTTTGTATAAACACTTTAGGCATAAATAAATTCTCCTCAAAAACTTATATAGAACAGCCGAAGCCAAACCTGAAAGTATCTGAGAAGATCCCTTCGCTAAAGATCATTAACGGTAATAACGGTTGAGGGTATGGCTCATGTAGGCTAGAAGGTTTATTTTAGGCAAACCTGGTAATTTGAGGACAGACAAGAATTATATCGTAAATATTTTTAATAAAATTTAGAAATATAAAAGTTCTGAGAAGTAATATTCGTCATCATTTTAGTCACTCTAAGTTGATTAAAAATCAATTCCTAAAAAGGAGGAGGAAGAAAGTCGATCTTGGCACTTGAGCAAATCAGTTTCTAGCACCTTCAGACCAACCTGTGAATATAAGGTTTCAGAATTTAAAACTACCAACGATTGATGAAAGGAGTAGCAGGAAACCCCCTTCAAGAACTAGAGAGCCTTCTAGTAACAGCGGGACACCTTCTGAAGCTGGGATGAATTATTTAGTACCAAACTGTATTGTGTCTATAGTTATTAATTTAGTTGATTATACCAGTGAGAATTCCCACCAGTCAGCTCGTGAAAGCGAATCTTCGAACAAAAATATGTACATGAACGTTATCATCAAGCGGAATCCCAGCAATGAGGATATTTCAGAATCTTTTAACCCTGACTATGGATATAATGAGCTTTAGTGGTCTGTCAATTTTGTAAAAATATTTAGGGGTTTTGGGGTTTTGGGGTTTTGGGGTTTTGGGG